TTGTCTTTTTAATGTGGTATCGTTAATGGCCGGGTTTTGTCAGATACAGAATTGACACATCAGCATAAAGCGGATCGGTGTGTCTGCTGGTCAGAATTACAATTGGGCGCTGTTAGGTGAGCGAGGAGTATCCCTGGATGGAGTTGGGCTAGCGGGGTTCCGGGGCATACTAAGGTGGGGCAATAGGTAAAGGTGGGAAAAGAACAGCCGGGGGTGTGTCGGCATCCACGGTTCCAAAGGTGAATCTCTGGGATCTACGAGCGCATGGTAACTGGTGGAGCAGCAGCCTGTGGGACGAGAGGTGACAATGATTGGTACAAGGTTATAAGTAGGGCTGAATCTAAGTCGCTTTATGTTGGAAATAAATAGTTGCCATGTACACGGTCGAATGCCTTTTGGGCATCTAAGGATATAATTATGATTCTAATGTGCCATCTTGCTGGTGAGATATTGTGTTTAGTAAGCGGCATTATTCGTAAATATTCCCAGGTGATGAATCCAGTCTGCGATCAGGCTGGATTATTGAGTGATTTATCTGATTCACTCGCCTGACTGCCGTTAATATACGCAGGTCCCCATTCAGCAGTGATATTGGTCTGTAGGATTGACATTCAGTGGGATCTTTACCCTCCTTATGTATCACCACTATAGGTGCCTCATTCCAGGATGGTGCCATAGTTTTTGATTCAAGTGCATGCCGGTATGTCTTTAGCAGCAGCGGTGACAGCAAGTAAAATTCATTAATATATCATCTGGACCTGGGCTTTTATTGTTTTTGAGAGATGAAATCACTGCTTTCTTCAATTGGTCTATCTAACTCTTCTCTGCTGCAGACTTGTCAGTTCAGGGCAATTTTATGTGGTTCAGAAACTCTGTGTCTGTATTTTTATATAAGCCTTTGTAAAACTCTGCAAAGGATTCTGCTATTTTATTAGGTTTTGTAACAAAGGTGTCCTGTAACTTTACTCTCTGCACCATGTTAGATGCCTGCTGTTTCCTAAACTAAATGCCAATAATCTACTTGCCCTATTGCCATATTCCTAGTATCGCTGCTTGGTAAATCTCAGTGTTCCCTCAATTTTGTACGATAGTAAACTATTAAGTTCTCTACGAGCTGCATTCAAATTATTTAGGATACTGATTGAAGCCGATTTTTTGTGTTTTTGTTCAAGCTCTTTTATTTTATCCTCCAGTTCTCTCTGTTTAGACTCTTTGTTTTTTCCTGGCGGCCGAAAATGAAATAATTCGGCCCCTGATATATGCTTTAGTACAATCCCACAGTATCAATGGTGATGTTTCAGGCGAGGTATTGGTATTTAAATATTCCTTAAACTCTATGCTACTGCTATGATGAAGGAGACAAATTATTTAGCGTTCAGAAGAGATGCATTAAGCCTCCATTGCTTGGAGGTTGGTCTGTGGTCGCACTTACTTGACCGTTAAAGTGGCCCTCCTGTGAGATGACAATAGTGGTCTCAAACCTATTTGTGGATTCCTCCACCTACCTACTTAATTGTTCTTTCCCCTCTTTTTTGTGTCAAACAGGACATTGAGGAGCTCATGAAGACCGACAGGCCTGACTGGCAGAGTGTCATGCTGTACGTCTCTCAGATCTACAAGTACTTTGAGACCTGACCGGCGGTGGAAAGAGGAGCTGGAGACCGACGGATCAGAGGCACTGCAACACTCTTCTGTCAGCATCTGTCAGCACTACATTCACCTACTGGACAGACCACCCTCTGCCACCTCAACCCCTCTCCTGCTCAACGTTTGACACTAGAGACATGGCCGAGGAATTAAGAAACAGTCACAGAGCAGCTGTTCTCTCATAACAGGACGCTACAGTCAATGCTGAAACCCAAATGGACAAAACCTGCAGTCAGGAGACACATAACCAGTTTGAACATGTGCCAAATATTCTGACAAAATTATACAAGACTATCTATGCATGGATAAAGTGGAACCTTCTGTCTGAGTGTGCAGTGTGACATCTCCTTTCACTCAACATCAAAGAGTGAACTCAACTTTTGGTACATTTTGCTGAAATGTTGCTTCAAAGACTCGATCAGTTCTCACATCGAGTGCTTATAGTGAACACGCTGGAGTCCTACTTTGCAGAGCAGAAAGTATTTTGACAGGTTTGAGTTGAACTAAAGCCTTTATATTTTCCACCTTTAATTGTGTGTGTCCTTAAAGATAGATATAAACCCTATAGCTGCCATCTGTGACGCAACACTAAACTGATTTAACACGACGAGAGTTGCTGAATAGTTTTGTAGAAATATTTTTTATGAAAACAGATTGATCTCTATGTTTGCTTTGTTTACAGCATTAAGGATTGGCTGAATCAAACCGTCGTACTGTGCCCTCCTGTGTCGTTTCTTCACGTTTTCCTTCAAGACTCTCTCAACAACTATGGTACTGCAGCTGCTTTGCAAAATATACATATATATTTGGCATGCCATGTTAAAGAGGATGACTTTTACATGTAGGAGTTAAGGCACAACACGATTTAGACAAGCCTCTGTTTGCAGATGCCCTTATGTTTTGGAAGATAAAAAATGTTATTTATTTATTTACATGCATCCTGAAAAGTGAGAATGTGGACAGATATGTATGCAGTTTTCTATTAACGGATGTCAGACTTGGAGGCCTGTTGGATTGATATTGCTCAATAAAGGATTGTCAAGTTTTATATTCAATCATTGACTTTTTGATAGTATTCTTCAGGTTATGTTGGGACACAAAGACGCTCCTTTTCAGTTAAGCTACTATGTGAATGCACCAGCTTCTCAGTGTGCTGCTCTGGTTGAGGTTTAACTGCTTTTCCACTGTGGCCAGTAAAGCTCTGTGCCAGGGCAGTAAAACATTTGGGTGTGTGGGAACACTGAGTGGAAACGCAGTGGCAGCGGTACCCATGAAGTAACACTTAGAGTTAATTGAAATATCTCAATAAAAATGAGTCTGAAGAGAATTTAAAAAAATGCTTGAATAAGTAAAGGAAAAAAACTTTATAGGGTCTGTTTGGTAAACAGAGTGAAAGTGGGTAACCATTCTGTCTGACCATGTGGAGAGTTTAGTGATCATCATGAGACAAACACCCAATAATGAAGCCAAACCATTTCAGTTTGCATTAAGATCATGAGCCACAAATCTCTTTAAAACTGATTTCCACATATAAGCATTACTCTTTACTCTGACTTCATCTCATGCCTTTGCGTCAGCCAGAAGCGGAAGGTAAACAATATTTCGTAAAAGCGTGAGGAAATCCATTTTTTTTGGCTGCGTTTGCCTCCACTGAGTCCCTGGCAGGGGGGGCAAAACGTCGCGATTTCGGCCTGATAGAAACCAGATGAAGCAGAGTGTCTGGGAGTCGTGTGCTGTACAAACAAGACCGCGTTTACATTAAACGGAAAGCACGTGGGGGCGTAGTTGGATGCAGTTTAACCGGCGCGTAAATACGCACGACGGTCAGGTGACGCTGCGGGATTCCAACCGTATTGTGCTACTTGTCACCGCGTGCGAATGTGTGTGTGTGTGTATGTGTGTGTACGTGTATATGTGTGTGTGTTTGGGGCGTGGCTTCTCTGTGAAATTGAGTTTTTTCCCCCCTTTTTTTTTCTTGCGTTTCTCCCTCCACTTCAAAACTGCTGTCGGGGGGGAAGTTGTGTCACACTCTGCCTACGCTACAGATCCGCAGATGCCGCTGAGACGCTCCACGGGTCGGTCGCTCTTGGTGTGAAAAACATCCAGAGAAGATGTACAGGTTCATTAAGGTGAGCAGCAACAACGTTCAGTGACTTTCTGACTGTTTTATGGCTTCCCTTCTGCAGCAGGGCTGGAGGGTTGCTGTATTTGAGGCACATTGTACAGCTTTGGGAAACTTTGAGATGCAGAAATAGTATTTTGTTCCTTTTTCTAACTATGAATAAATCCTTTTCCCTTCCTCAGATGGCTGGTTCTGCAGCTCACACTTGCGGGATATTCCTGGATTACAGCAGAAAGACTTCTTTACTCCTCTGGGACTAGAAGCAGTGACCGTCTTCTCTGTGAACAGCCTACAGCTTTTAGTCCTTTAACACACTTTGCTGAGATGAATTCGTTCTACATCGTGATTGAAGTAGTAATTGCTGTTCTCTCCATATCCGGCAACATACTGGTTTGCTGGGCTGTCGCGATCAACACCACTTTGAAGAACGCCACCAACTATTTTCTGGTGTCTCTGGCTGTGGCTGATATTCTGGTCGGCTGCCTCGCCATCCCCTTTGCCATAACCATCAGCCTCGGCATACAGCTGGACTTCTATGGGTGCCTGTTCCTGGCATGTTTTGTCTTGGTGCTGACACAAAGCTCCATTTTCAGTCTCCTTGCTATTGCAATTGATAGATATCTGGCCGTCAAAATTCCTCTGAGGTGAGTTTTATATTTTTTTTTTATGACTAATGTGAAATGAATCTAAAAAACCTTTAGCTGATCTTTTTTTCCCCCGATGGGACAATATTACTCACGTAAGCATGACGAAGAAACCTCAGACTAGAATAGTCAACATGAAGACTTTAATTCACTG